CTAAAAATAGAACTACCCTACGACCCAGCAATTGCACTACTAGGCATTTATCCACGGGATACAGGTGTGCTGTTTCGAAGGGACACACGCACCCCCATGTTTATAGCAGCACTATCAACAATAGCCAAAGTATGGAAAGAGCCCAAATGTCCACTGATGGATGAATGGATAAAGAAGATGGGGTATAGATACACAATGGAGTATTACTCGGCAATCAAAAAGAATGAAATCTTGCCATTTGCAACTACGTGGATGGAACTGGAGGGCATTATGCTAAGTGAAATTAGTCAGAGACAAAAATCATACGACTTCACTTACATGAGGACTTTAAGAGACAAAACATGAACATAAGGGAAGGGAAACAAAAATAATATAAAAATAGGGAGCGGGACAAAACAGAAGAGACTCAAATATGGAGAACAAACTGAGGGTTACTGGAGGGGTTGTGGGAGGGGGGATGGGCTAAAGGGGTAAGGGTCACTAAGGAATCTACTCTTGAAATCATTGTTGGACTATACACTAACTGATTTGGATGTAAATTAAAAAACAAAAAAACAAAAAAACTGTGTACACACACCAAAAACCAAAAAAACCCAAAAAACATTTCCTGTAATGTTTCAGGGTCCCTGCCAGCTTAGTAATTTACTGCTGGCCTCAGATACAGGAATCTTTTTTTTTTTTAATGTTACTTAATTTTGAGAGAGAGCGTGCATGCATGAGCAAGCAGGGGAGGGGCAGAGAGAGAGGAAGACATGGAATCCGAAGTGGGCTCCAGGCTCTGATCTGTCAGCACAGAGCCCAAAGTGGGGCTCCAACTATGAAGAGTACGATGATGGCCTGAGCCAAAGTCAGACGCTTAACCAACTGAGCCACTTAGGCACCCCTAGGAATCTTCACCTTCAGTAATAAAGTGGTAAACTTTCTTTGGATATTTCTTACTCAGACAAACAGTGGGATACCATGGAATATTCCTCTCCTTTCTTACTAGCTTTAGTATCTTTCTGAACCAAACCGAGAGTTCCAAAACTCCTGCACAAACTAGATCCTTATTACTGTTTTCTTAGGAGCTCTGATCTCCATTTCTTCCAGCACAGAGGCCCCAAATAAAGGAGTATGGGACGTATCTGGCTACAGCTCTTGTGGGTCTAAGTGTGCTCTCCAGTTTATAAGTGCTGGTTCTCTTGCCCTGGCCCTAGGATCTTACCACTGAGCTAAGCTGGGAGCTGACTATTCCCCCAGAAGTACAGCGCATCGTCAAGGTGAAGGGGAAGCGCAGCAGCGAGCACGTTCATTCCCAGGGCCGCGTGATGGGGGACCGCAGCGTGCTCTATAAGGTACGGTTCAGCAGTCTGGTGTCAAGTAGAGGGGCAATGGCTTGGATTCTGGCTCTAGGATTTGGCAGATACTTGACCTTGAGTGAGTCCCTTCATTCCTTTGAGCCTTAATTTATTGTCTGTAAAACGAGTATAACATACCCTGTTCCTAGGGTTGTTGTGTGATCACACGAATGCTCACGTGTAGCATAGTGCCTGGCGCGTGGCCACTACCCACTAGAGGTTAGCTGTTGTTACTAGTGGTAGCGCTGATAGAACTTTCTGGGGTTGAGCCTTAGCTGATCCATTACAAATCCCACGTCTGTGGTCCGACACTAGTTCGTGGGGAAGGGAGGGAGACGGAGAGGTGGCCAGTGGGCTGCAGCACCTCCGGGAGAGAATGCAGTCCTTGTAGTAGTGGTCATTGGTTACACCCTCTGCAGAGCGGGGGCTGAGCTGGAGGAGGAGATGGGATAGAACAGGGTAGCGCGACCCAGGAGCCTTGACGAGCAGCCTGCTTTCCCCAGGCGTGAGGCCGTGCCGCAGAGTGCAGGCCTGCTGGGCTGTCCACGTACAGACTTAGCTCTGCCGCAGGCTAACTTCTGTCCTGGGTAATTTGGGTAGGCTCCCCGAAGGTCTGTTTTCAAGAATATACCGGAGATAAGAGCACCTACGTCACAGGATTGTCTTGAAGATTGACGATAACACAGACCGTGGTTAGTGTACTGCTGTGTAATTAATGCTATTGGAGCCATTGATCTGAAATCTTTATTGATGGGTGCCTTCCACGTGGCTGCAGTCAGTTTGACTTATGCAGAACGACCAAAATAACACAAATTCTAAAGTATGCTTGACTTGTACTAGAGAAAAATACATTCATTATGTGATTTACCTTTATGAGGTGAAATTTACTAGAGTGCTTATGTTTTTCTGTGTTGAAAAAAGTAGAGTGGATTGAAAAAAATAGAATAGATTCATATTCATCACACACATTGTTTAGTTTAGTCTTTTTTCAATTAGCCTTTTGTTTTGGCCTAATTTTAGATTTACAGGGAAGCTGCAAAGACCATGCATCGAATTTGCCTATTCACCCCTTACCTGGTTTCTCCTGGGAGACTGTGGTACATCTGTCTGAACTCAGAAACCAGCATTGGTGCAAGACTGTTAACTAAACTCCAGACTTTCTTCAGGCTTCACCAGGTTTTTCGCTGAGGTCCCTCTCTGCCGCAGGCCCCAGCCCCGGACCCCATGCTCCACATAGTGGTCCTGTTTCTCTAGTCTCCTCCGCTCTGTTCCGTTTTTCAGTCTCTCTTTGTTTCTCACGATCTTGGTAGATTTGAAGAGTACTGGGCAGGTGTTTTGTAGGCAGTTTTTGTTTGATGTTTTTCTCACGGTTAGACTGTGGTTGGGGTTTAGAAGGAATACCACAGAGGGGAAGCTGTACTCTTCTCTTTTCTTTTTTCTTTTCTTTTCTTTTCTTTTCTTTTCTTTTCTTTTCTTTTCTTTTTTCTTTTCTTTTCTTTTCTTTTTTCTTTCTCTCTCCCTTTTCTTTCTTTCTTTCTTTCTTTCTTTCTTTCTTTCTTTCTTTCTTTCTTTCTTTCATTTTTTTTTTTTGAGTGCTATCAGGATGCCAGGTACTTTTTTAGATTCTGGGATACATTAGTGAACAGAATAGACAAAATTGAGGCTGTTATATATTCTGGAGAGGCCAACAACGAAAATAAATAGATAAGTTTACAGCAAATTAGAGGTTGATTACAGAAAAATGTGAAACTGAGAAGAAGGAATGGGGAGCTGGGATTGGAAGGGGGTGCAATTTAAAATAGGAATGTTAGGAGGGCCTCACTGAGATGGTGACACCTAAGTGAAACTTGGACGGAAGGAGGAAGTGACAGTGTGTGATAGCAGGGGAAGAACCTTCTAGACAGGAAGGCCAGAGTGGGCCTGGAGTGTTCCAGAAATGGCAAGGATGGTGTGATTGGAATGGGGTAAGTGAGGAAAGTCCAGGCTGCTGAGGTCAGAGGGCGGCAGGTGGCGGGGCATACCACAGCTGCCACTCTGGCCTTTAGGTCATGTGAGATGGAATGCCAGTGGGGAGTTGGGAACACAAATGTGACGTAAACGGCCAAGATGAAGGGCTCACTCAGCCTGCTGTGTTGAGACCAGAGGGCTGAGGGAGAGAGCAGGCAGACCGCATAGGCTGTTGTAGTAAGCCCGGCGATGTGGTGGTGGCTTGACCAGGGTCGGTGGGGGGTGAGGAGGGACCAGATTCCAGGTGTGTCTTTAGGTAGAGCCAGTGGGATATGCTGATGGATGGGATGCTTGGGTCTGTGCTGGAGAGAGAGAAGGGGGAGTCCAGGATGGCTTGGAGGTCTCCGGTCTTAGACCCTGACGCAGGGGGAGGCCCACGGGGAGCAGGCTTTAGGCAGAGGCAGGACAGGAGTTCCCTTTGGGGCGTGTCAGGTGTGAGATGGGACAGTTAGGAAGAGATACTGAGATGGCAGCCTGTCAAAGCCTGGAATTCGGGGAGAGTCTGGCATAGATACGCAGCCTTGGCCATTGCCAGCTCCTGTGGGTGACGTGACCATGAGAGCGAGTATAGACGAGGTCCAGGAGCCCGGAGAGATGAGGACTCCGCAGAATAGACTGAGAAGGAGGGGTCCATGGGGTGGAGGAGAAGCAGGGGGGCACGTGTCACGGACACTAGGTGGAGAAGGTGTTTCCAGAAGGGGTGACTGCCCTGTGTCACATTGTACCAGCAGGTCAGGGAAGACCAGAGCAGACTTGGCCATCGGCTTAGTGGTAGGGAGGGCAGTGGTGGAGAGAAACAGTGTCGCTGCAGTGATGACTTAGGTCCGTGATTGGGCAGACCTGTATCTTGAGTTAACCATTTGCTGTGTCTGTGACGCGAGCAGGTTGCGTAACTAACTACCTTGAGCCTTTCCTCGCCTACCAAATGTGGAGAGCCACAGCTCCACTGCAGGGTGGTTTACGGGATTCAGTGAGGCGATGTAGGCCAAGCACCCGGTGTGGCACGCGGCACCCAGGGACTCTGATCCAGTGCAGGGAAGACGAACTCCAATAGGAAGCTCTTCTGACCAGGAGGTCTGGTTTCTCCTCCAGGCTGGCAGGCTCCAGGTCTGCCGCAGTGCCCAGGGCTCACATCAGAGTGGAGCTCATGATTTGCCATTGTGGTTCTGAAGGACCTCTTTTCTCCTTCTCCCCAGAGCCTGAACCCCAACCTGCTGGCCGTGGTGACAGAGAGCACAGACATACACCACGAGCGCACCTTCATCGGCATCTTCCTCGTTGATGGTGTCACTGGGCGCATCATCCACTCCTCCGTGCAGAGGAAAGCCAAGGGCCCCGTCCACATTGTGCACTCCGAGAACTGGGTGGTGGTAAGGAGGGGCAGATCTACAGGTGTCACTACCAGGGACGTGACACAGTCAAGAGCGCATGGCTGGTCTCCCCGTGTCTCAAATCCTTTCATCGCCTCTTGTTGCAACCAGTGGCCGCTTTGTGTTTTTGTAGGATCCAAACCCCTGGATGGCAGTTGAGACAGACTCAGAAATTAGACCACCCAGGGCTGATGCCAGCCCTGCCTTTTCCTGACTGTATAACCTTGAACTAGTTATTTGAGCCAGTGTGTTGCATCATTTGCGAAGTAGAGAGAGCAGAGTGTCCTGTGGCCTAGGTTGGGACGACGCCTGCCATGTAATAAGCGCTCAAACGCTGACTTGCTGTTCTGCTTTCTGAGTATCTTGAAAACCCCTTTGTCTTATGGTGCACTTTGGATAAAACTAGATAAAACTACCCTGAAAGTTAGTAAACTTGGCAGCAAGGAAGAAAAGTGGGGTGCTGGGTGGTTTCTTTCCTCCCTGGACGTGTAGCTCGTCGGAAAGCCAGCTTCCTGTGGAAGTTCCTCTTTCCCGCTGAGCCAGCAGCCGCGTCCCAAGCTGCCCTCTCTTCTCTCTGCAGTACCAGTACTGGAATACCAAGGCCCGGCGTAACGAGTTTACCGCGCTGGAGCTCTACGAGGGCACTGAGCAGTACAACGCCACCGCCTTCAGCTCCCTGGACCGTCCCCAGCTGCCCCAGGTCCTCCAGCAGTCCTACATCTTCCCCTCCTCCATCAGTGCCATGGAAGCCACCATCACCGAGCGGGGCATCACCAGCCGGCACCTGCTCAGTGAGTGACCAGGGGAGGGTGTCCGGGGTGGCGGGGTTTCCGTAGGGCGTCACACTGAAGGAGACGGTTGGAGACGCGACACTGGCACACCCTGTTTGACCACCGTAGGGGAGGTTAGTGAGGAGGGCTTTGTTTCAGCCGAGAAAGTTCCTTAGTCCGGCTTTGCCACCTGTAAGAGACGGCACGACTCATTTCTGATGAGCCACGTCACTTCTCTGTCAGGCATTTTCACCTCACCCAGCAAATTGAGCCCTGATGTCATGTCTGTGCTGATACTGCGGAAACCGGCAGGGGTTAGGGTCTCCTTCTGTGTCTGGGTGCGGGACTTAGTGACAGCTTAGCAGGCTACTTGGTCTGCTGGATTTTACTAGAGACGTCAGGGACTCTCAGCTCCGACAGGCACTTGGATCACTAGTTTATTCTCAAATCTGTGGGTTTCCCAGATTTGGTCCCTCCATCCTGTAACCAGCAGGCTCTCCTGTGGCCTGCAGCGACACACACACACCTGGTGTTCTGGTGTTTGGCCAGCGGCGGGGACGCCCGCTTTGTTGGGGCGGCTGTCACTGGAGGGAAAGGAGAGGGCTGAAGAGATCAAGTGGCCTTCTGTGCTCTTCTCTCTCATCATACCCATTTCTTGATTCTAGAACTTGATTTCCTGAGGTCTCAGGATGATGTGTGAAGAAACCAGTATCTTCAAAAGTGGGAACCTTCATTCAGACCCATGTGTATTCTTGAATTACTGTTTTTGGCCACTTAAGGGCACTTCAATGACCCAATTTTTGGTTTGAAACTACCTTAAATTTCTGTGATAATGACATTTTTGTGACTAGCCCCGATTTGGGATTGGATCACTGTGTGAACATTTACTTCTGTTGACTTGTTTCTGTGTAGTTGGGCTACCTTCCGGAGCAATTCTTTCCCTTCCTAAGGCCTTGCTGGATCCCCGCCGTCCTGAGATCCCAACAGAACAAAGCAGGTGAGACCTTGCAGGTGGTGCTGAAGGCTCTGACCCTGAGAAGGTGACCTATTGAACAAACCTGGTCCTTGGCCTGCTGTCTGCCGTTCTGCTGTGCTTGGGGCTGGGGTCATAGCAGTGAACAAATCCAACAAAACTCTCTGCCCTCATGGAGCTTAACATTCTGGTGGAGGAGGTTAAATGAGATAAGCAAGAGAAATAATGTTGTGTTAGGTACTTGTAAATGCTATGGAGAGAAAATCAAAAAGGGACTGGGGCTATGAAGGGTTGGGGAGGGGTACCTGGGGGTGAAATTTGAGAGGGTGGCCTGGGAAAGCCGCTCTGGAAAGGTGACTGTGGAGTGAAGCCTTGGAGGAGGTCAGAAGCCAGCCTGTGGATGTAAGGGAAGACTTCCAGGCAGGGGAGAGCCAGTGCCTGTGCCCTGAGATCATGGCTGGTGAGCCAGAGGCAGGGAAGAGGCCACAGTGGCCGCAGCAGCTAGCAGGGATGGGGGGACACTAGGAAATGAGCTCAGGGAGGCAATGGGGGCTGGGTTATGTGGGGAAGTCAAAAGCTTGTCATTGTTAGTAGTAATTTTTTGTGTTGACAGCCATCATCTCTGCATATTTCTCCACCTCTGTCCCGAATCCTCTTCACTTAGGGGTGTGGGGAAGAGGGAGCAGGAAAAGGGGAACAGGGGGGAAGGGGTGTGGGGTTTGGAGAAAGGGGCGGCTGAAGCTGGGGAGACACATGGGAGGATCCTAGGGTTTTCCAAGGAGCACGGACCGAGTCACCGTGGAGCAAAGAGCAGGAATTGGCCTAGTGTGGCTCCGTGGGCGAGTTTTAGAGTGGCCCTGACTTTCCTCCTCTAGGGTGAAGTTGCATCCTGTTGTTTTCTTAGATTTAGAACGAGGTAGGAATCCAGATCTTACTCTCCACACAGGTTTCTTTCTTGTAGCCCTTGCTGACATTCAGCTGCTAAATTTTTAACTACATGATGCAAGTAGATGTTGAAGGAAGATTTGAGGCTAGATATGTGGCCTGGAAACCTCCCGGGACTCAAAAAGGGCAGCCAAGAGATCCCCTTGCAGGAGTTTTGAATGCCAGTCCTGGCTGATGTTTTGCAGAGAGGAGAACCTAATCCCGTACTCTCCAGACGTGCAGATACACGCAGAGCGATTCATTAACTACAACCAGACAGTTTCTCGAATGCGAGGGATTTACACGGCTCCCTCAGGCCTGGAGTCCACTTGTTTGGTGAGTAGAGCCCACAGCCGCTGTGTGTGATCGCTGCTTTTTGGTTCACCCCAGGAGACAGCTGAGGATTCCATATCTTTTCTTACCAGAGTTTGAGGTCACGGTGGACCACTGGCCACCTTTCTTACGTATTTCTCGCTCCTTTTGCCTTCTAGGTTGTGGCCTACGGCTTGGACATTTACCAAACTCGAGTCTACCCATCCAAGCAGTTTGACGTCCTGAAGGACGACTATGACTATGTGCTAATCAGCAGTGTCCTCTTTGGCCTGGTGTTTGCCACCATGATCACTAAGAGACTGGCACAAGTGAAACTCCTGAATCGGGCCTGGCGGTAAAGACCCAAGACCCACTGCCGGAGAACAGAGAGCTGAGGGCTGAGAGGGTCAGACAGGAAGCTGCAGTGTGACAGGCCGGGGGAGGATGTGCGTTGGGTGCTCGTGTCAGCGGAGTCGTGGGGAAGAAAAGGGACTCTTGCGGAGACTCCTTCCGGGACACGTCTGCTGCGGTGTTGGTGGCGCACGGAGGCTGAACTCACACATTGTCTCAGCCGAGAATCTCAAAGCATCTCGACGGACTTGCCCTCAATGTCTGAAGGCTATTGCCCTGTTTCCTTTTTTTGCCCACTCGTGAATGTTGTTGTTTCCAAGACCCCCAACAGATTTTTCTCTTTTGTGAGGCCTGCCTAACTTGATTGTGGTTTGCCTCTTGTGTTTCCCAGACCTGTCCAGAGATCTTTCTGTTTCCCGGCCTCATGCTTCAAAGTCCGGAGGGCACTCTTACTGAGAACTCCACCTCGCAGGTGCTTTTGCTGTTTTACGTCGAGAAAGAAGATCCAGGCTTAGTTGAGGCTTAAAGACTGATCCAGCTTCTCATGGACTTTCTCCAAAGAGTTGAGGAATCTATATATGGTGTCAAAACTCACTTTAACTGAGCCCCTTGTTTGGAGGCTGTCATTCATTCAGGGTGGGCCACCCTGTCCTTGATGCAGTTCATCAAAGTCGAGTGCGAAACAGTGTCCTGGTTTGTTGGGTCAGTGCTTTTCACCTAAGTTGTGTCCAAGCTGAGGCCTTTTTTAATACTACTGAATTGTCTCAACCTGCAAGAGATTTCAAGGAGGAGAGAATCTACCATTTCGTGGTACCTGCTAACCTCTCGTTTCACCCCCAGGCTGTAGTCCTCTTCTGACCTAGAGGAAGTTGTTCTGTTCAAGAACCTCATTATTTATTTTTACTTTTAGATATAAATTAATGAGTGCCTCACCGTGTTTCTCCTAAAGTGAGTAGATTTTAAATGTTACTGTTGTAACCTTTGCAGCTTTAAAAGAGGGGAGAGTGGGGGTAGGAGAAGGAAATGGGCATTTTGTGGATGAAGCATTGCTGATTGGCTGGGCTGTTGTCTCTGCTACGAATGGAAGAAGTCCTAAAAGTTTCCTTTGTTCACGGATCTGGGAACGATGGAGTTTTTCTTTACTGTGGAAATGACATGTGCAGAGGAGACCATCTGTAGCCTTGCGGGGAGAGCAGTATGCTTGGGTGTCTGAATAAAGTGAATGGTGAATGGCACGAATGTCAGTCCTTTTTTGTGGTGTGGGACTTGGAGGCTACTTCTGCATTAGAGGGGACAAAAAGCTATGCAGAAATGGAGAGTATTTGAATAGGAAGCATGCCAATTCAATCATATAAGGGTTGTGTTATTTAAAAACAAAATGAAATCTGGGGCAGCTGGGTGGTTCAGTCAATTCAGCGTCCGACTCTTTTTTTTTTTAAAGTTTATTTATTTCTGACAGAGTGAGTGATTAATGACAGGAGGGGCAGAGGGAGACCCAGAATCTGAGGCAGGCTCCAGGCTCTGAGCTGTCGGCACAGACATTTCGGGGCTGAACTCCCGCGAACCAACTGAATCATGACCTGGGCTGAAGTCGGATGCTTAACCGACTCCCCAAGTGTCTGACTCTTGATTTCGGCTCAGGTCATGATCTCAAAGTTTGAGTTCGGGCCCCACATCGGGCTCTGCTGACAGCAAAGAGCCTGTTTGGGATTCTCTGTTTCTCTCTGCCCCTCCCCCACTCATGCTCTCTCTGAAAATAAATAAACTTTAAAAAAAAAATGAAATCTTTTTGTGGTCATATGCTGCTGGTAGATCATGATAGAGAAGAAACAAGATAATCATTTTACTTTTACTTGAGTAATAAAATTATGAAACTGATTTTAATGAGTGAGTCAACATCTAGGTGTCTCCAGAAGAAAACCAGCATCTTTTCATCCTGACTCAAGGCATAGTTTGTTTAAAGTGTCCTGGGAGAAGGAAAGAAATTAAAACAACAACAAAAAAATTCTGCCCTAGTTTTGAGAGAGCCGGCTGGAATGTTGACTGCCCTATATACGTGTGTGCAAGCTGCGTCGTTAGCTACTGCCTTGGTGCCTGCTCTGTTTGCACAGCACCCCCAACCCTGCTAGATTCTGGTTTTTATTTACCTACATATGTGCCAGAATCTGAAAGAGCGAGCTAAGGGGAGGGCTTATCTGCCGTTTCATAAAATGCCCTGTATTTCAGCTCTGATCATTACCATTCTACTGAAAGTTATTGCAAAGCAAGTGCTTGAAATAGCTGATGCTGATGGCATGTTCCAGCGTCCATCTTGTCATTTCCTACCTCACCGTCTTAAAGCTGTGCTTGGTTGGGACCGGCTTCACCCAGCCTCTACCTGTGGCATTTGAAACTGTTGCCCCTGAGTGCTCTGATTTTTCTGGTCTTCCTCTTTTTCTGTGCATTTCCCTTGAGCTGTCTGTTTCCTCTCTCTTCAATAATTAGGTTAATTGGGAGCCCCCTGCAATGTTTCACTTAAAGAAGTAAGTCCTTCAGCGTTTTTAATGTTTTTTAAATTTTATTTTATTTGGTCAGTATTCAAGATCTTTGGTGGAAGATTTTGCAGCTAGTTATTTAGTGATTGTCAGTCTCTTTAGGGAATAATGTAAAATTTGTGGCTTTTGTTATAATTTTTCCCTAGCCTTTGACTCTGCAGTTATTGGGGAAATATGAGTTAACTACAGAATCAGAACATTCAGGGGAAGAACCTTTTTAAAAAATTTTTTGCCAGATGAGGGGCACCTGGCTGGCTCAGCTGGTAGAGAGTGCGACTCTTGATCTTGGGGTTGTGAGTTTGAGCCCCAAGCTGGACGTAACTTGACAATCACTGCATAATCAAAAGAGCGTAGACAACGTCCTATGCACTTTTATTGTAAGTTTGTAAAATGTAAACAGAGGTAGCATCTACCTTTCAATAACGAAGGACATACTGGTACTTTGTATGAATTGCTTCAATTTTGCTCTCCACGTTTTAAAAATTTTTGCTTTATTTGTGTGTGTGTGTGTGAGAGAGAGAGAGAGACAGCGAGAGAGTGCGTGCGTGCGTGTGCACAAGTGGGGGAGGGGCAGAGAGAGGAAAGAGTGAATCCTAAGCTAGCAGCACAGAGCTGGGGGGGGGGAGGGGGTGTGCTCAAACTCATGAAACAAGATCATGTCCTGAGACAAAACCAAGAGATGGACTCTAACTGACTGAGCCACCCAGGCGCCCCTCCAAGTTCTCTATTTTGACTATTTAATAGGTGCACCTGGGTGGTAGAGTGGATTAAGGGTCCGACTCTCAGTTTTGGCTCAGGTCAAGATCTCATGGTTCTTGGGATCGAGCTCCCTGTCAGGTTCTGTGCTATCAGCCTGGGATTCTCTCTTTGCCCCTCCCCGACTCTGTGCTCTCTCTCAAAATAAATAAACTTTAGAAAAAAATAAAAAAAAAAAGACTAAGAAAAAAAAGTTAATGCCCCAAACTGTAAGATGAGTCTCTCCCTCAAAGCCTTCCCCCATTCTGTGCCCCAGAGGTAACCACTGAACAATTTGGTAAATACCTCTCCAGATTCCATAATGTTCTGCAACTTGATTTTATCACTTAATGTATCGTGAAGAGCTTTCCATATTAGCAATGTGGATTTCCCATACCCTTTTTTAATGGCCACAAGGTTGAAATTCTTAAATGTTATTCCATTAGAGATTTTTATGAGATCAATCGAATACTCTTTCAGGTCAGTCTATTTTGTATTATTTAGACCATCTTTCCAGTAAGGATTTATAAGGTAAATGATGTGCACACACCCACCTCCTCGTAAGGCATTAGTGTGACCTTGAGACTGACCTCCAACCAAGAAGCCATTTTTATTTTGAGAGAGAGAGAGACAGAGAACATGAGCACGGAAGGGGCAGAGAGAGAATCCCAAGCAGGCCCTGTGCTGACAGTGCAGATCTCATGAACCATGAGATCATGACCTGAGCTGGAATCAAGAGTCGGATGCTGAACAGACTGAGCCACCCAGGAGGCCCAAGAAGCCATTTTTCTATTAGCACTGAGGCTTATGTAAATTTCTGATCCATGATACTGGGAAGGTGCCTTTCCCAGTATACAGACTGATGACACTTAAGGGGGCGGGGGTCTTTATAAAATAGCCACTAATTTGTATGGAAGCACACTTTTTCTTTTAATGTTTATTTTTGAAAGTGGGGGAGCAGCAGAGAGAGAGGGAGATGAAGAATCTGATGTGAGCTCTGCACCGACAGCAGAGAGCCTGATGTGGGGCTTGAACTCGTGAACCGTGAGATCATGACCTGAGCCTAAGTTGGACACTTAACCATATGAGCCACCCAGGTGCCCTGGAAGCACACTCTTGTCTCCTATCACCTCACATGCAATTGGAATGAGTGAAAGTCAGTAAAGCAAACTAAGCATTTCAAAGGCACGTTTACTCACATAAGTGGTTTACGGTTTTGGTGACGTTGTATATCCCATATGCTAGACTAGAAGAGTGATAAACCAGAGTGTAGGGTTACGCTTATGTCTGCCAGTTGGAATGCGTATCCTATTTTTAAAAAGCCTGTATAAGTTAAAATGCTATTGTAAGTCTGGTTATTTTGCAGTTAGAATAGAGGATGTGATATTCTCTGCATGGTCTTTATGGTCAGTGTGCTTCTGCCAAGAACATTCACTTCTGACCAGGGCAGCTCTCTTGTCCCCCTCCCACCCCCAGTAGTGCTAAGGGATACAGTTTAATCGCTTGACTCCACTTTTCCTAGATTTTTATGTATACAACTTTCCTTCTGCTAAGTACCTGCCACATAGATCATTATACTTAAGTCATGTTTTCCTAATCATAAAGCAAAGTACTCACAAACTTAAAAAAAAAAATTTTATTTTGAAGCAAAATAAAAAATTTTATTTTGAAGCATGATCTTACAGACTTACAGAAATGTTACAAGAAGAGTACAGAGATTTCTCAGATATCCTCCACTC